CACCCGAGGACCCGGAGGGTGCGTCTGGCAGGGGACGTTCTGAGACGGGCGTGCCGGTTGGCAGTGGCGCAGAGCACCGAGCTCGCTGCAGGAAGCTCCCGGGACCCCCGGCACCCTGCTTCCTGAAGCAAGGCGCTGACGTCTTTGTTACGATCCGGGCCAGAAAACAAACGTCTCTGGGCACCCGACACCAATTAAAATGCTCTGACTTTCTTATGGCTTCGGCTGAGTGGGAAGGATCGGGAACGTGGGTTTGGCAGGTAGTCTGGGCCACGCTCCTTGACTGGGGGAGAACCGCCCTGCAGACTGGCCTGTCTCTGGGTTGAGGATGGGTCTGCTTGGAGACCCCAGCTGCAGAGGCTGCTGATAGCGCGCTGCTCTGCCCTCAGCGCACCAGAGTCCCCCTGCGGCCGGGTGGGCGCGTCCCCTGGAGCCCCCAGGGCCCCCCCTGCCTGAGGGCTCTCCCCCACCCGGGGTTGCTTCGTCTTCTGCAAACAGGTGTCAGCCTTGGCGCGGGAGCGCGGTGCTCGGGGGATGACCTTCCGCTGGTGGGGACTAAGCTCAACCGGGTGGGATGTGGGTTCCCGGAGAGGCTGAGCCCCGTGCCCACCCCGGCGCCCACTCCTCAGGGCCCCACACTGGCCTTCCTCCTCCAGACGCCCTCTCCCGTGTCCTCCTCAGGGGCCTGGGACCGCCTGCAAGTACACCGCTTGCCCCCAGTCACCCCCAGCTCCCCGCCTGCTTTGGGGACCCAAGGTCTGCGGAGGCTCCACACCTCCTGTGACTTTGCACGGATCGTCTGGCCTTGTGGACGCGAGAGTCAGCCCGGGAGGACAGGGACGGAAGAGCTGCCCGTGCTCATCGCAGCGGAGGAAGACGCACACCGCTGCAGAGAAAGGGGCCCGGGGATGGCGGAGGGAGCCCGAGACCCTGCCAGAGGGCCGGGGCGGAATGCGGCAGCCTGGCGGGGGGTCCCCGGGCAGTGCAGGAAGACCATGTGACGAGGAGGAGAGGACGCAGCTTCCAAGGAGGAGGGTTTCCGTGGCGGGGATCCCGGGGGCCCTGCGGAAGCCCCGCGGCCCTCGGGGAGGTTTGCAGAGATGCTCCCGCCCATCAGAAAGTGGGTCCCGACAGCCCGTCAGCACCCGGCTCACCCTGTGTTGGTTCTGGGCGTCAGCACGGGCCTGCGATTAGGACCCACGGCCTGTGAGTCACGGGGCGCCCTTCCTCGTCACGGCTTCGAGCTTGTTTCTGAGGCCAAGTGCTGAGTGCGCGCCCTCCGCCGTTCTCTCAGTCCTGGCCCGACAACCAGGGGCGATTCCCAAGGATCCTCCGCCCTCCGCCCCGTGGACCAGCCCCTTTGCCATCTCTCAGTGGGCAGGGCGGCGGGTCGGGCTCCAGGACGGAGCTCTGAGCACCTCGCCGGGAGAAGTGTTTGCTGAGTGACTGGCTGACAGCACGGAGCCCCAACCCTGGAGGTGCCCAAGGGGCCCGTACTTGGGGTGGGGCCAGAGGGTGTCAGAGCACAGGCCCCGGACGGCGGGGAGCACGTCCCGCTGGCCTTGCGGTGCTGAGCACCCCTCGGGACCCTCCGTCCTCCTGGAATGGCGCTCCTGCTGGGTGTGCCGGGGAGCAGGGCACAGCGGGGGCTCCTGGGCAGGGACAGACCACCAGCCCCGAGCGCTGCTGTCACCGGCTGGCCCGTGGCTCCGTGTCTCCCAGGCCGCTGGCAGGTCACCTCCCGACAGCCCAGCAGGAGGGCCCGGTTATTCGCCCATTTCACAGATGGGGAAACTGGCTGAGAGCCGTCCTGGGCTGCCCAGCGGCAGGACGGTGAGCGGGGTCGAGGACCCCCGTCCCTGACTCCAGACCACTTCCAGCGCCCGCCCGTTCCGTATGCAGCCTCCCGGGGCACAGGTCCCGGCCTCCCTGGCCTCTGTGCCCTCCCAGCCTTCAGCCCCCTCTGAGCTCTGCAGGCAGAGCCACCCCGTCCGCCCGGGCAGCCAGCCTTGGGCACTGGGGCCTTCTGAGTGCTGGGACCAGCCTCCCCCACCACCGGGACCAGGACTGTGCGCTGGGGATCCCAGGGCCCCTGCCTGCTAGCGGGGCCCCAGGGCCGGGTGTCCCCAGACTAGAGGCCCTCCAGGGTGCCCGATCATGGCTGTCTCTGCTGTGCGCACCTTGAGCACCGCACACTCCCCCCACGACCCCCGTGCTGCCGTCTGCCTGGGATCACCTGCGTTGCTTTGTCCCTTTTTGCAACGTTGATTTTTGAGACCCTGTGGACCACAGGGATGTCACACCAGGCCCTGGCCTTGGGTCGACAAATGGCTGCTGAGGTCTACGGTCTGTGGTTTGTCTTTCCAGCTTTGTACATTTTTCTGGTTTTGTTTCGGCCACAGAACGGCAGCCGTTTCCCTTCTGGCTTCTGGCTCTGGTGTCAACACGTACACCAGGGTCTCCACCCCACACTGTGCCTGTATTTACTAAGAGGGCTTCACTTAGGCACCTAATCTTTAGCTCACCTGGGATACTTCTTTCCAAATAGAAAAATGCTATTTCAAGTAAAGACAGAAATTTACCAGAGCCCTTGTAAAATATGTGGGCAGAGACAAAAAGCACCTGTCCTTTGATTCCATTGACGGGCAACATCAGAACAGAGGAAGGAGCAGAGATAGAAAGCAGACTGGGGGCTGTGCGGGCTGGGAGGGGCAGTGGGGGGCGAGGGCACTGGGACAGGGGTTGCTTTTGGGGAAGAACAACTCTGACCCGGTGGTGATGTTGCACACACAGTGCTGTACATAGTGCCCGGGAGGCATTCAATTTAAAGTGGTAAAGGCACAATTTTCTTTAAAACTTATCACAGATAAAACCATTAACTATATAAAACAAACAGAAAATTCGACCAAAGGCAAACAGAAACATAACAGGAGGGAAGGACTGTTCTGGTAGGGGAGCAGGTGGACTGAGTGGTTGGGGAGCTGGTGCTGAGGGCGGGGCTGGAACAGGTTGTCCCTGCAGGAGTGCAGGGTCCTCAGTGGGCCCTGGGTCCCCTGAGGAGGCAGGTGCAGGAGCAGGGGCTTGCTCTCCTTAAGGGGATGTGGGGTTCTGACCCAGTTCTGGGTCCCCTGCAGAGGCGATATAGCAGAGGAAAACTTAATTAAATCCCTGGGTTTAGAATTCAACAGGAAGAATAACTGTAAAATGAACTAGCCCCCGAAACCTTGTAACAATTGACAAGGGGCAGTTTCTTTCTGTTCTCCCTATTATCTGTTTCAGGTCAGAGGCAGCGCAGTGATTCTGCAGAATCCAAGACGCCCCGGCCCGGGGCTCTGAGGAGGGCCGATGCTCGTGAACGCCCCCGGCCTGCCCCACGATTCCCCTTTAAAGTCCTGACTGCTGTGCTTCGGGGGGACAGGGGCTCTTTAGGGCTCTAGCCCGCCGCTCCCTCCTTTGCCGGCAAATTAATAAACTGTTCCTTTCCTCTCCTGAAAAGGTTGTGTTTGTGACTTGACTTTGGTGACAAGGACTGGTTTTCAGTATCAACACTCTGGGGAGCCCGCCAGGGGTGTCTCTGCAGCCAGCGGTGCAGTGCCCTCTCCTGGGACCTCCAGCAGGCAGAGCTGTGGGCTGCGGCAGCCCCCGGGGCAACCAGGCAGCTGTGGGTGGAGAGGAGGGGCCGTCGGAGAGCGGGGCGCCCCCAGCTCCAACTGAAAACCTGAGAATGGTCCTGCGTCCTGCCCTGCACCCGCACACAGGCTCTGCTCCGGGTATCACAGTGCTCACCCAAGCATCTCTCAGTTCTGGGTTCCTCTCTGGGTGAGGCTCCGCGTCTGTCCGGCAGCCCTGTGCTCACCTCCCTGCCTTCCTGTGCACAGACCACATTCTTCCTCCTCAGCCAAAGGGATCTCTCTGTCACGTGAGCCTTCCGGGTCTGCCCCACGTCCCCACTCAGTTGGCCCAGCCTCATCCCTTCCCCTGCCAACCCTCATCAGGGTCCAGCCCCCGCGGTTGGAGGTTGTCCAGTTCAGGACATGGATCCTGGCTCCAGACCTTAGCTCGTGTCATGCCCCTGCCAAGGCCACCCTTCTGTCCCCTTGCTCTTTGTGTCTGGCCAAGTCCTCCTTGTATCTGCCACCTACTGCTGTGTGACAAACCCCCTAGTTGGTGATGTGAAACAGCCACAGCCGTCGGGCCCCATGTCTCCCCAGGTCCAGGGTGACCAGGCTCCGTGAGATGGTCCTGGCTCTGGGCTCTTAGGAGGCGGGTGTCAGACGGTGGCTGGGCTGAGGTCAGCTGGAAGGCCCCCTCACGTTGCTGGTGGCTGAGGCGGGCTCCCAGCTGAGGCACCTCCCTGGGGCCTGCCCGCAGGCCTAGGCTTCCTCTCAGCATGGTTGACGATGACCCTCTCCCCTGTAAAACCCTTTGAGCACAGAGTTTGGGGGGTTCAGGTGGGTAGGCATGTCCACATACAGGTGGGCCTCTGCACCTGGCTGTTCACCTGTGTCCTTCATCACATCCTTTATTATATAATAAACTGGTAACTATGAGTGTGTCCCTGAGCTCTGTGGGCAAACTGACTGGACTCAGGGGGGCCCTGGGACCCCGACTAACAGCAGGGCGTCCAAAGCACTGGGGCATCCTGCACCTGTTTGTGGGGTGGAGGATGGGCCCTCCTGGCACGTGGGGTGGGACGGAGCTGAGCTGTGGGACACCAGGTAGGAGGCAACATTGTGTGGTGTGAGGAAGCACCAGACTTTGGTGTGAGGAGTGTCCGTGTGAGTAAAGGGGCCTCACAGAGAAGGACGGGGGCTGGGCAGGGAGTGAGGTCACCATGCTCAGGAGGTTGGCAGGCAGCTTCCCGCCCAAGGCAATCAGTTCCTGTCACATCACTTCCCTCTATTCAGTTCATAATTATGTTGAGAAACAAAACCGAAGAGAAAAGTCATTTAGACAAAGTCAACATGAAAACAGGAAATTGGGGGCAGACTTTAACTGGTGCATTTAACAAGAGATGTGGATTTGGGGAGGCATTGCGCTTCCTGCAGGCACGTGTCACTCAGTGCCTGGAGCCACCTGCCTGCGGGCGGTACCAGGGGGCACCGTGTGGCCAAATGGCAACTGTGGGCCTGGGCCTCTCCCTCCCTCAGACGGGCACCCGGTGCACCTGCCCGGGTCTGAGGATGCCAAGTAGGGACAGGGCTCCTGCTTGTGCAGAACTTAGGAAATGAGACGATTTATTCAAAAGGGACCACTGAAAACATGCATGATGCTGGAAAATGACATTCACATGAAAATTACATTAAAACCTCAAGGGAACATGGTCTCACCAAGAAAAAAATGGAATAACAACATACAGGAAGAGAAAAGGTAAGAATTTGTGTCAGACTCCCTGACAGCCTGCAGGAGCAAAGAGGTGGCTGGCACCTGTCCCCGCCTGGCCCTCTTCAGCAGGAACCCTGGCCAGCAGCTGTTCTGGCTCCAGGGAAAGAAGCTGTGAACCCAAGTGCACGGCAGGGATGCCCCCACAGCCCGCAGACGCACCGGCCGACACCGATACATTTGACACTGTTTATGGCATTTTCCCCATAGGAAGGTTTACAATTTTATGTGGCTGGATCTATCGCTCTGTCCTCTTATGGCGCCAGAGCTGTCTTTTCTGATGACACCCCTCTATTTTCCCGTGACCTTCAGTGTCCTGCACCCAGGGGCCAGGACTGCCAGGCTTCTCCCAGCCTTGTCCTGGGGGAGACAAGGGCCCTGCTGCTTACCTGGGCCCGGTTGGGGCTCACAGACCCAGGGCCTCTCAGGGCATCACACCTCCAGGCGCCATCCTAAGGAAGGGCAGGGTGTCCCTGGGTGTAGTCACTGCCTCTGCCTGCTCGCAGCCCCCCACCGCAGGCGATAACCCTGCCAGGGCGAGGGCGAGGGCTCTCACAGCCCTGCTCGCTCCAGGTCCCCAGGACATGCGCCCTGGGTGGACAGATGAGCCAAGCCATGGAGAGCTTCCCTGGGGAGGCTGGAGTGGGGCCCACACTCAGCCCACGGTCGTCAGGAGCCGGGGCTGCCATGGCCCCACAGACATCCTGCTGGGAGACGGCAGGGCCTTCCCAGGCTCCTTTCCAGATTCCCTGCCACAGCCTAGGGACCCAACAAAGATGGACACCCACTGGCTTCTCAGCAAGCAGGAGAAGGGGCAGCCCAGGGCCTGGGATCCTCTTGCCCCCCAGGCCCAGGAAGCTGGCCCTGACTTACCCAGAGGGGCCAGGCACGTGGCGCACTGCAGGCAGGAAGCTGGTGGCAGGCGGGATGGTGGTGGCTGAGACCATGGAGGGCCACATGGAGTAAGCCCCTGAGGGGCCAGGGGCAGGAACGGCCTGCAGGGGAGCTGGGGGTGCGTAGTGGTGGTGGTGGTGCACAGAGGGCGGCTTCTGCCTCTCAGCTCGGAGGACGGCGGGGTTAGCCCACTGTGGGTCCTCAACACAGCACACACCAGCCTGCTTCAGCAGGGACCACAGACCACTCCTGGCCTCCCCTTTCCCTCCACCTGGTCCCCAACTTAGGGTGATGGGCAGCAACAGGGGGCAGTGATGGCAGGGGGCATGGAGGGGATAGGAGGGCCAGGCTCCTGCAGAGCTCATCTGGCTCAAGGAGGAGCTTCTTGGACCCTGAACTGCACAACGCCACTCCTCCTCAGGGGGTGCTGGGGAACTTTTGCAGGTTCGTGGCCAGATCACAAACCTGGAGCCAGGAATGTGCTTTTCAGTTACACAGGTGTGCACATTTCCAGAAGAAAAGCCACCCAGGGCTTCTGATTTTGATTTGGAGGTCGCTCTCCATGGCCTTATGGCTTTGGTGTCTGTCCCAGAGGAGCCTACCTGTAGGGTGGGGTGCAGAGGGGCAGCCTGTGGTCCTGGGGAAGGCGCGAGCTTGGAGGGGGGCAGGGCTCTGAGCATCAAGCTGTGCATGATGACCTGGTGCAGCTGAGCATTCTGCACAAGCATCAGCTCTACCACGTCTGCAAGGAGAGGCAGATGCATTCCACGTCCACAGAGGGCTGGTGGACTGGCAGGTGTCATGTTTGCAGAAGCAGGTATGGCACATTAGGAGCAGCAGAGAGCCTCCCGGCCCAGGTGTCCCAGTGCAGGCTGGAGCAGGCTGTGAGGCCCCAGGGCCCAGGCGGCTGCTCCCCCTTCCCTGCCGCTGCCCCGGCCCTTGCCGATTCCTAAAGTGCCCCTGGGCTGTGGGTGGCCGTCAAGAGGTGTGTTCTCATCCCCAGGACCTCTGAGTGGCCTTAGAAAAAGGGTGTTTGCAGAAACTAAGAATCTTGAGAAGGTCATCCTGGATTGTCCAAGCAGGCCCCGAATCCCAGGACAAGAGTGTCTGTGAGTAAGGCCGCGGGAGGTCTGAGACTGACTCAGAGGAGAGGCCACGTGGGGACGGAGCGGCAAAGGGAAGCACCCGGAGCTGGAGGAGGCAGGAGGGACCCTCCCTGGAGCCTCTGGGTGGAGGGCGGCCCCACCCACTTGATCTGGGGCTTCTGGCCCCCAGAATGAGAGTCCAGTTCTGTTGTTTTAGGACCCTGGTAACCCCAGGGAATGAGGATATTCACCAACTCTGGGTACTGTGCAACATGTGTGTTTTGCCAGTGTGAGAGTAAACATGCTACTTACACAGTAGTTAGGGCACCGGAGCTCCCAGTCAAGCATGCAGGAGCCTGGGGACCAGGGCTGGGGGTACCCCACAGACACAGCTACAAACTGGGCATGCTGGCAGACAGCCTTCCTGCTTCGAGTGCAGTTCTTTGCTGGGTCTCCAGCCTGCCAGCCCACCCTGCAGATTTTGGACTAGGTGAGCCTCCATAATCACTTGGGCTAATTCCTTTGCTACACCTTCGTATGTACACACCCTGTCGGCTGTGTTTCTCTGGAATGCCTTGACTGACACACATTTGGCCAGAGGGCCTGGAGCAGAGGGGCGGGGTGGAGGTGGTGGCAGAGCCAGATGTGTTCAGCACAGCTGCAGGGACTCCTGTCCCTGCCAGATAACACGGGGCGTGAGCGGCCGCCCGGTCTGGGCAGAGAGCCGCGCGGGCCTGGCAGGGGCGGTCTGCCACACAGCAGCACCCTCTGAGAGGGAAGCTCCCTGGCCAGGCCCAGGGATTCCCGCTGGGCAGCATCAAGCGTGAAGGGATCACTGAAAGGAGGGGGCAGAAGTGGGCCTTGCGGTTTGCTCTGGGCTGGGGTGAAGGGAGATCTGGTGCAGGGAGGCAGTCCCGATGGATGGTACAGGGCAAAGCATGCCCCCCACCCCTACAAAAACACAGCATGACTCACAAGTCTATTCCAGATGGGTCGTGAATCTTCATGCGAAAGGCCATGATTCAGAAGCTAATAGAAAGGACCATCCTCATAAGGACTTCTTACACAGGACAGTGGCTCTGACCTAAAGGGGAGAGCCTGAGAGTCTGAACCTCTGTGCAGAGAGGGAGGGGCCAGGCCACACAGGGTTTGGTATTTGCTGTACAGAGAACAAAGCAGGGCCCATTTTAGAATATGTGAAGAATCCCTAGAAATCAGTAAGAGAGGCAGACAACCTGTAAGGAAAGTGGGCCACACAGCTGAATGGCTCTCCACAAAAAAGGGTATCCAAATGGCTAATAAACAAGTGAAAGGCAGAATGCAAGCCAAAGCCGGAATGAGTCACCATGACCAGCGCGCCAGAAAGGCAAGATGAGAAATCACAAACACCAAGTGCTGGTGACTTGCTGCAAGCACCAGAAAGTCTCACTCACTCCTGTGGGGTGTAACGGGGTCCTGCCATGTTGGAAGACGAGTATTTCCTGACCCTGCCACCTCCTTCCTAGGCATAGACCCGGAGGCAATGTGCGTGACCACCCCTAGGGGACGAGGCCTGCTCGGAGCAGCACTGTCACGGCAGCCCCGGCAGAAGGCCCTGGGCACGCAGCCCCAAAAGAACAGCCCACACTTTATGGGACCACACGACCGAGGGGTGGTGAGCAGGTCATGGCCCCCAACAGCGCCTGCATCCTGCTCCCCAGAACCGTGAATGTGTCCCATGCATGGCAGAAGGCACGTCAAGATATGTCACAGTAAGGTGCATGTGGTTAACACCACGAACACATGGTTAAGATGGTAAATTTTATGTTACCTGTTTTTTCCCACCACTTTAAAAATTAGTTAATTTTAAAAGATAATCTTGAGGTGGAGAGATTATTCTGGATTATCTGGGTGGGTGCAATGTAATCACAGGGGCCTTAGGCATTGTTGGGAGAAGATAACTATCAAAGTAGATTTGAATATCCAGCAAGACCAGGATTTAAGAACAAGGAGAAAAAAATGGGCAAGAAAGTAAACACTGAGGGGCTTCAATAGCCAATTCTGAGGGGACTTGTAGAGGATATATTTCAAGATGATAGAAAATGATCCCAGAAGGACAGTCCATGTACGATAAGGGTGGTAAAGATGTGAGGTGAACTCAGATGACATTTCTATATGGATCACACTAGTGTCTGTTTCTGTGACATCATCTGAAATGTAGGCCTGAAGCAGAGCGCAGCCTGGGGGAGGCGGGGAGGCAGAGGGGGCTGTGGTGTTGCGAGTTCCTTCCAGCTGTGGGGGAGGAGCCGGCAGTTCTCCAGAGGGCTTGTAGTCATCTTGACAAATTTCGTGTGTTTGTATTCAAGTGTTCTATCCAGCAGGAATTTGTTTGGGTGGGGAGAGTAGGGTAAGGAACTTGACTTTACTCTGTGTAAATGGCTAGCTGCAAAGTGAGTGCTTCACTTTTTCCCATGGATTTTAAACGCCACTTTTTCATTTTGAAGGCATATAAGCATTTGTACCCACAAGCGTGCACACATGCCAGCACACGAATGCGCACATGCAGACACGCAAAAGCATATATATGATTGCTCAGGTTGCCTTGGAACCTGGCAGACCACCTGGACCAGGTTCATCCAGAAAAGCTGAGGGCGGGTGGTGGGAGGCTAGCAGAGCGCCTCTGTGGGTCTGCACCCAGGGCCAGGCTGGGCGCGCATTATAATGTGTGATTAGATGAGCTGGTATTAGTCCCTGGGACAGAAGTGAGGCACTGATCAGACTCTACACACAATCTGGCCCCAAGACTCCTAACTTTGTCAGGAAGATACAAATTACGCAAGTGAACTACCACCCCTCCTGTTAAAATGGCTGACGTTCAAAAGGCTGTTCACGCTGAGTGCTGGTGAGGAGGTGGAGCGACTGGAGACCTCATGCCTTGGGGCTGGGAGTGCAGAATGGCACTGCCACTCTGGGGACAGTTGGGCAGTTTCTTTGAAAGTTAAACACACATCTGCCACCTGATTCAGCCCTTCTGCTCCTATATATCTACCCAAGACAAATGGAAACGTGTCTACAGGAAGACTCAGAGGAGAATGTCCATGGCAGCTTTTTTGGTGATAACTAAAAGCTGGTATGGATAAAGTGAAGTCTCCTGTGGCCAGGATTCTCACCTGGCCCTGGTCAGCTAGCTCACTACACACGTGTGGGCAATATGTTGCTATTGACGCTATAAAAAGAGCTCCGCCCAGTGCTCTGGGTGTAACATGGTGGCAGGGCTGCAAGGTTGAGGAGAGCAGAGCAGAGGGTGGAGTGGGCAGTGCTGAGGACAGAGGCCCAGAAGACAGCTGTGCGGACAGAGGGGCCCAGAGGCAGAGACCGGCTTGCTGCGTGGGCTGAAACCCACTGGCCAGACACTGGAAACAACCAGAATGTCCCTCAACAGTGAGAGGGTGGACACACGGCACACCCACACAGTGGACTGTTGCCAGCAGCCACAAGGACCCACGACTGGTGTGCCCAGCTAGGGTGATGAGTCTTATACCAATTTTGCTGAAAGAAGCCATAAAAAAGGGAGTATGCACTCTGTGACTGTGGCTGTATAAAAACTGAGAAAATACAAAGTAATGTATAGCAGTGGAAGCTGATCTGCAGCTGCTTGTGGGGGACAGGAGGTAGGGGTCAAAAGGAGGAGGAAAACTTTGGGGTGAGGGGTGTGTTTGCAATCTTGACTTAGTGATGGCTTCATGGGTAGTATTTATATCAAAACTTACCACATCTTATGTACATTCTATTCCATGTCATCTCAACAAGCTGCTTTAAAAATCAAGTATTTAAAGTTATTTAAAAAGCAATTTAACTAAGGTTTTCACATAGCTAATACTTTGATGAGTTCTTTCAATTCCTAGTCTAGTCTTTCTTTTACCTTGTAGATAGCCATCAAATAAGGATTTCTTAAAGTTATGATTATTTTCATGTTTGTAAATAAATAGTTTCAGTTGAGTGGCCAAAAGCTGACCCTGAATGACTATCCTGCTTACAAAAATATATTTTCTTTCTGTAGAGAGTGTTATAAGCCCATAACAATATTAATACGAACACTCACCTTCCTTGATACTTCCGGACCTTTGAGTGGGGAAGGCCTGGGGAGGGGCGACCTGTGCCAAGAGTGGCTGCAGAGGCAGCTGCTGGCTGCTGGTGGCAGGAGGATGGGGCGCCTGGGGAGAGAGTGACGGTGAGTCACCTGAACGGCCCCTGGGGACAGTGTCCTGTGGCATCTGCCTGCCTGTTGCCTGCCAGGCCCCCCATCCACCCAACTGCACATCTCCAGTCATCCACCGTTCCAAGAGGATCTTTAAATGATCTAAATAGACAGCTGAATAGACAGATGTTCAAATTTGTCTGTTAGGATGTGGCACGTCACGGACTGAATGTTTGTGCCCACCCCCAAATCCGTATGTTGAAGCTCTCATCTCCAGTGTGATTATATTTGGAGACAGGGCCTGTGAGGAGGTGACAAAGGTTAAATGAAGTCTTAGGGGCAACTGATTTAATAGAGCTGGCATCCTTACAAAAAAAGATAGAGATACCAGAGAGCTCTCTCTCTGCCACACAGAAGGCAGCCGTCTGCAAGGCAGGGTGAGAGCCCTCTCCAGTACCGGGTGGGACCGGGTGGGAGGTTTCCAGCCTCCAAAAGCCATGAGAAACACATTCATGCTGCCTACGCTGCCCGTCTGCAGCCCTGCGTCTTGGCTGCCTGAGCTGACCACCACTTGGCAATTCTGATGTTTCCCGGGCTTCCTGTCTGCAGCAGGCTGAGTAACGCCTGGTTTCAGTGATTCTGCCCTCACAGAGGCAGCCAAGGAACCTGTCATGAAAACAGGTTATGGCTTCCTGGCCATGACCTCTGGCTTCTCTCCTGAGTTAAATGATTAGACTGGTCCTATGAAACTTCAATCACGAACACGACAGGAGGCTGGTATTTTACACCATTTTATGTGTTATGGGTTCATTATCCTTTTGATTTTTTTCCCCCGGACACTTAGAAGTATAAAACCATTCTTGGCTTGCAGTTGTACAAAAACAGATGGCAGGTCAGCTTTGGCCCCTGGCTATGGCGGGCCAGCCCCTGCATAGAGGCCCTTGGAGCCCTGTGCCTGTCCCGGCTGAGAGGACCTCTGGGTCCAGCCCCCAGGGGACTCTCAGGGTGATGCGGCCCTCTTGTTCTCCCGGGATCGGTGGGGCTGGGGCTGAGACACACATGAATGTCTGGGCCCTGGGGAACTGCAGTAAGTGTGGATGTGTTTGGATCTGGGGGACCCCTGGCACTTACACCCCACCCCTCCACCAATCCTGGAAGGAGGTTCCAGGTTTGGAAAACCAGAAGGCACAGTGGGGATCTCTGGGACCTGGACACAGATGGCCCCAGGCTCCACTAGCACAGAGCCCACTTCTCCCCCGACTCCTGCTGCCAGGTCCTCCCCCCAAGGACAGATGCCCTCCAGGCCACAGATCCTGCCTGCTGACACCATCAAGCCCTGGCCAGCAGTGCAGAGCCTTCTCTACATGGCCCTGCCCACCTCTTGGAGCTTCTCTTCCTCCCAGTCACACCGACTTTTCCTGCGCTGTGATATGCCAGGTCCCAGACTTCTGTGCTGCCTCTGCCCCCAGCTGCCCTCTGATACGTCCCCCGTGCTTAAGAAAGTCAGAGTTGCTTTCCATTGCTTGCAACTCAGAATGCTGGATAAGGTATGAGGCTCAGAGCTGGAAAATTCTTTTACCTTTTTAAATTCTGCCCTTGTAGTAGGTCTTAAGCCTCTCCTCATCATGAGTGAGTGTTGAAAAAGAGTTGGCAAACCTCTGAGCCCATTAATTGTGCTCCTAGTGCAGAGGTCAGGCCCTGCGGCTGGAGGCAGGAAGGCCGAGTTGAAATCCCAACCTCTTCTCTGTGACAAGAAGGTAAGACTCCTCCTCCCCGAAGCCAGGTCTCAGAACGTGGCTAAGAGGGGCCACAGAAGCCACCAAACAGGACCTGGAACAAGGCGGTTGCCTGCTGGCTTGGCTCCTAGTCAACTGGCACCCTTCTGAGCACACTGTAATGCTGCTTGTGGACCACAGTGACAGGCGTTGGGGGGCTCTGCTCCCCCCACACTGGTCCGCCATGGCGAAGACTTACCCAGTGTCGGATCAACTGGGGTGGCTCAGGGGCTGGTGGAGGCGGAGGGATGAGGGAGGCGCCTGGGGTCAGCGTGGGCTCGAGGGCTCCTCTGTGCAGCACCCTCCAGGTGTGGGCCGGGGAGACTCCATCCAGGAGGTGGTGTTCCTGCAAGGCCAGTGCAGAGCCAGCTGGTGCGGCTGGGGGAGGTTGGGTGACAGGCCCACATGTGTGTAGCCCACTGTGCACAGGGCTTGGGCTGCCCATCCCGGGTGCCCTTCCCTGGGGGGCACAGCCTCTTGGGATTGGAGCCAGGGCCCTCATGGGGCACACATGAGAATAACAGTCCTTCTCAATTTACCAGATGATGGGAACTGGCTCAGGGTGCCCTTTGTCACCAGCCAGGAGAGCGTGTGCTCTTCCCACTGCAGAGCGGTATCTGCCACAACTGCCCACTGGACTCCAGTGACCTGTTTGCACGGTCAGTGTGCTACTGGTAGATTTAGTTTGGATGAAGCCCTGGGGCATCTTAGAATTCCTCTTTCTGTGGGAATGGACTCTTTAACCTGCATTTCTGCCTTGGACAATATGCAGCCACAGCAAGTTTTCTAGCTAATAAGAGTTGTTTGAGCCCTGGCTACAGGACGTGTGTGTGCATGTTCTACTTGCTCCCTGAAGTCCATGATCTAGGTGTGAAGTCCCCCTTGCTCACAATTCTATTATCTGCCCCAAGTCACCAGAATCAAAGAGCCAGGGCTGGCCGAGGAAGGCCTCCCAAGCCTCCGGTCTGGGCCAGTGGCTTCAGCCCCAGAGAGCTGGCCCAGGTCCAGGTGACAGCCAGCACCTACCCGGAGTCTCTGCAGAGCGTCCTTCCTCCTCAGGGCGCTCCTCAGGGCTGCGTCTGGCCTGGCCTCGTGTCCTGGAGGAAGCGCACCGAGGAACCTCCAGAACCCCCACCCAGGACCTGGGGTGACCTGTCCCAGAGGAGGGGCCAGAGCCTTGGGGAAGGGTGTGTAGGGGCCACCCCCGGCCCCCAGGAAGCTCAGGCTCATTTCTGGAAAGAGCTGGAAGTCACGTCATGTGGACGGCACCAGGGTGCCCCTGCAGCGCTGAGATAGAATGCCCCCCAGGCTCCACTGGACTCTGGGGAGAGGAAGGAGGCCCTCACGGGGCTCTGAGCCTGGCCTTCTGCTGTCTGGAGCCACCCGGTGGTCACCAAGCATCAGGCAATGCTGTCCATGGCATCCTGGAGTCCACACCTCCCCGAGGGGTCCGTTCAAGAGAAGGCTCTGAAAGGGTCTGCTGGGCCTGGCTGGGGCTCTGGCATCTTTTCCTCTGGGCATGGCAGGCCGTCCCCACCTAGCTGGGTGTCTGAAGCAGCCTGTCCCCTGTAGGGGCCCAGGAGCCCCAGTTCCCTGGCCCATTGGCATTCCATGGATCTGCTCCTGTCCCTTGGTTAGGTGACCTGGCTTGGGATTTTCTATCTGAATTTGGGCCCTGGGCTCTGCTTGCTGCCTTCAGGAGCTGCCCAGAGCCCCCACAGCCCAAGGGCTACCCTGAGCTTTGAAGAACTGGCAATGTGCCCGTAGGCCTTCCCAGCACCTCACCAGATATCCCTGATCCCAGACACCATCACCAGGAAGGCTGTACCCACCGCTGGTTCCTGTGGCCTGAGCATCTGACCACAGGCAAGGGTTGGCGGGTGTATGGGGTATGTGGTCTGGGAGCCAGAGGACATGAGACCCAACGTGGACAGACAAGCCCCCCGCCCCCCCTGAACAAGCTCAGGGCCATGTGGGTCTGATCCCTTGCAGCCACTTCTGAACTGGGCAGCCTGGGGCAGATTATCATACCTTTCTAGGCCTCTGCTTTCTCATCAGCAAAATGGAAATGATGAATGTACCCCCTCCTGGGGTTTGATAAGACTTGAGGGTGTGCTTAGCTGATGTGTGTGTGTGTGTGTGTGTGTGTGTGTGTATGCACGCATACATTTTAAAGAAGAAAACAGAAGCCTTTCCCCGAATGTAAAGGAAAAGCATTAAGACAGCCTTGCCAGAAACAGGAGGGAAGGGCCTGCTCCAAGTGGCTGGCGCCCTTACCCAGAGTGAGGCGGGGGTCCTCTGAATCCCTTTCCACATTCTCTCTTTCTTGCTCAAGTTTCTATGAGGAAAAGAGATGGAGACAGGGAATGGCTCCAGTCCCAGGTTCAATGAGGGTGGGGCCTGGCCTGGGCTGCCCTGGATCCCCCAGTGACTCAAAGGGCTCTGAGGGGACCAGCACCCCAACGGAGGTGACAGGGCAGGAAGTGCTGTGTGGCTGAGGTGCAGCACAGGCGGCTAGGACCTTCATGCTCTCAGGACGTGTGGGTCACTCTCTCCGCACCACGCTCCACCTTGAAATGTAATTCTAACGCTCTGACACATCCAGCCCCATTCAGGCGGCGTTCTGAAGAGCTTGACCCAGGCCACCCTGACTGCCCCAGTGAGCCCTGGGCTGAAGAGCCAGTCCAGGCTGTGTGGGGGTAACTTCTGCCAGCCCTTCCAAGGGCCACCTGGATAGAGAGAGGAACGGGGGCAGGGCAGCAGAAGAGAACAAAGCCGCAGGGGACCTGACCACACAGCGGCGCCTTGGGGTGGGGACAGGAAGACAGAGCCGAGCACAGGTATGCCAGGCTGGGGCCTGTGCCCAGCAGCCTCTCTGCCTTCCTTAAACATGAAGCCAGGAGGTTCTGCAGGGGGGCTTCATGGGCCTAGGTAAACTCTGCCTGTGGGTGAGTGCCTGACACCTATTGGCAGAAAATGCCAGAAGAACCTACTTGGTTCTGGATAAACACAAAGAAGAAAGGCAAGAAACCACAATCTGGCCACGAGATGAGAATGGCTGGAAAGGGTTTGCTTTGGGAGCAGCATGCTCATGGGTGCAACAACTTCCTCCCTTTTAAAGCCGCATGTCTGAACAAGACCCCCGCCTCACCTTCTCCAAGAGTTTCAGGGTCAGTCGAGTCATTTGATCTGCCACCAAGGAGTCCAGCATCCCTGGAACACAGGAGAGGAGAGGGGACCCTGCGGGTCTGCCTCCCTGCCCAGCTGCGGGCACCTGCAAGAAAGAATTGCTCAGCTCAGAGAAGCAGCCCCACCGGGTGCAGTGAACAGTGCCCGTGCTGTGTGCGGGAGGGTAGCCACATCCCCTGGCCTGTGGGCTCTGGGGCCACCACACCATTGCCATGGCAATTGCTAGGTGACACAGACACAGGGAGGCCCCAGGTTGCCAGGTTTCCACTGAGAGGCCTTTCCAGTGCTGCCTGGTCTCCATGCAGGGTTTACCTGTAAACACTGCTGATTCACAGGCGTGGCCAGGCAGGGCTCCTGGGGAAGGCAAAAGTGGGCAGTGGCTGGGGCCAGAGTGGCAGAGAGAGGTGTGGCAGAGAGGACAGCCCCAATGTGCCACCATGCACCACCTACCCCCAGGACTGAGGCCAGAGGGTGTAGGGTGGGGGAGGTGCGGGGCATCCACCTTACCCCATGCACCACAGGACCTGCTGCTCCCATCCATTTCTGCCTCCAGGAGGGCAGCAAACCCTTGGCCCCTCCTAGGGATCCTCAGGCCAGATGGAGCAAAGCCCAGACACCAGGAGGGTGGGGATGGAAGATCTGAAGAAATTCTGGGTGGCAGAAGGGGAAGAATCAGGGAGCTGGCCAACGACCTGCCTAGAGGCTTCCCTGATGGGGGCTCACAGTGAGCGCACCCCCATAGACAGCCAGCTGGACCTCGCAGGCCCTGGGACCACTTGGGACACCACCCCTCCAGGCAGGGATGTGACTTGTGTTGGTACTGCTTGGCAGAGACTCCAGCCCAGAAAGGGTGGGGTGGTCCTGGAGGCGGAGAGGTTGAGGCACCCGAGGCCAGAACCCTCAGCCAGGCCTACCCACCCGCCAGCTGGAGCGTCTATCTGCAGGGCTGTGGGTGGGGAGGAGTGCACCCAGCAAGGGGAGCCTTCTATAAATGGTGCTGCCCACTGAGGGCAAAAAACAGATCAAAGTAGCCCTTCACCTGGTGGGCTTACATTCCAAGTTTACAAAAAGTCAGCCTGACTAATGAAGTGGGCGTAACAGGTTTGAGATTGGAACTGGTGATGGCCGACCTGGGCTGGGGCAGGGGCAGGGGCCAGCACACACCCCCTCCTCAACGCAACTGACCCAGAAACTTGCATCCCATGGCCAAAATTGGGCTAAAAGTCCCTTAAATGGCCTACATCCTTCAGTATTTATGGTTTTATAGGTATCATGGCTCTACCACTCAAACAGGAGGTCTCCGTGAACACAAAAGCTGGTTAACTTAGCCGAGCCGCTCAAGGCAGCTGGGAGGTGATCCCAGTGGTGTACATAACACATCCCAGGGGGTATGTGTTTGTTAGGTGGTTGAACAAAATAACTTCATGTTTTAAAACAACTTTAGATTTGCAGAAAAATTGAGAAGCTGGAGTTTCCACATTACTAACATCTCATGTTACTGTGATATGTGACAATGAACCTATACTGTTACACTGTCTTGAGCTCAAGTTCACACTTTCTTTGATTTTTTTGCAATCTTGTCACCCCTCTTGTCCCAGGAACCATCCGGGCACTATGTGACAGCCAACACGGTTTCTTTGGCTCCTTTTGCTTTTGGTCCCCTTGACAGCTTTGAGTGCTTGCCATACATTCTGTAGGGTGTCCCTTTACTACTGGGATTTGTATGTTTTCTTTTCTTTTTTTATGTCTCTTTTTTTTTTGAGAGGGCATCTCTCATATTTATTGATCAAATGGTTGTTAACAACAATAAAATTCTGTATAGGGGACTCAATGCACAATCATTAATCAACCTCAAGCCTAGCTCTCAACAGTCTCCAATCTTCTGAAGCATAACAAGTTCTTACATGGTGAACAAGTTCTTACATAGTGAATAAGTTCTTACATGGTGAACAGTGCAAGGGCAGTCATATCACAGAAACTTTCGGTTTTGATCATGCATCATGAACTATAAACAATCAAGTCAGAATAAACAATCAGAATAATATGATTATTCATTTGATTTTTATACTTGATTTATATGTGAATCCCACATTTCTCCCTTTTTTAAAAAAATAAAATGCGGAAGTGGTAGGTAGATGCAAGATAAAGATAGAAAGCATAATAGTAAGAGGGCAAGTGTAGATGATCAGGTCTGTGCCTATAGACCAAGTATTAATCCAAGCTAGACAAGGGCAACAAAACATCCACAGATGCAAAAGATTTCTCTCAAAACAGGGGGGGTGAGGTTCTAAGCCTCACCTCTGTTGATCCCCAGTTTCTCACCTGATGGCTCACCTGCCGACTGTGCCTGTCTTAGGTTGTTCCTCCCTTGAGGAATCTTACCTGTCTCTGGCTAGCCAGCCGTCTTCTGGGGCCATACAGGGAAATGTAAAGTTGGTAAGTGAGAGAGAAGCAATATTCTTTGAAAGGTTAGCTTTTTGGATTTGTATGTTTTCTCATGACTAGACTCAAGGCTCAGGTTGGAAGACTGAGGTGCCCTTCTTGTCCCATCCTGCCTAGGTGCATGTGGCTAGCCTGCTCTTTGCTGTGATGCTGACCTTGGGCCACCCGGCTGAGATGTGTCTGCCAGGTGTCTTCACTCTACAGTTACAGTCTTTCTCTTCCTTCCATACTGTCCTCTGGGAGGAAGCTGCTAGGAGTGTTTCCCTCCTTGAGGCTAAGGGAATTTATTTGGACAGCTTTTCAATTGTTAAAAATGTTAAGACTCGTGGAAAGGGAGGGATGGGGGGAAAGGGAGGTATTACGATTAGCATGTATAATTAGCATGTGGGGGGGG